GCATCATTGCATATTCAATAAGGAGGAAGTAAAAACGAAAAACGAAGAAAGCTAGTGGCTCAATCTCCGAGAAAACTGATGATAACTGAGCGCGGCACAACCGAAAGCTGCTCAGGTTGCGTTTCTTGATCACTCAGTGATAAGCCCCATCGATGTTCTCAATTTTATTGCGGAGAACCATCAAAGTTTGAAACCTTCCATGATCATTGGTTTGATTATAGAATGTAGTACATCATGTGCGGATAAAATCAACTGTAGACTTAATGAAGATGTACAGTTTTCGTTTTGGGTATTTTTTAAATCGATGGGCTGCATTTCAGCACTCGATCAAAACTGATCCATTTTTGGCATTGCACATTTTTCAAAACTCTCAGCAGTTCATCTGTATCAATATAAATTCGAGACCACAAACGGTGTTGCAAGATTTTCCATAAATCATACCTCATTCAGGACCAAACGACCACAATATGATCAAGTGAGTTTGGCGAGTGAATCCGTAGGATTGTACAATGATGAGAAAATTTCTCATGAAGGCATAAGCACGTGTTTCGTATGGAACAAATCACCCCACGGTCCAATGATTTAAGTCATCTTCCAAATGGAGGTTAGCAGCCATTCTGAGCGATAAAATCCGTTTGCTCAAAAGGAGTGTCATAGTTTCGTCGTCGTGAGACGGCACAAATGGTGACTTTACGAAATTCGTGGATTGGATTGAATTCCGTCGCCTGGATATTGGGCATTGCATTTCTGGTGTTCAGCTTGATAGCGCTCTCGTCTACCGAGTGGATGACTTTGCATGTCGGGTGTCAACTGACCGTGACCCACTATGTGCAACGGACACGAACTCGAGGTGTATGGCGTGAGTGCGTTGTNGAACCGGTCGTAAGTGAATCCATTCCGTGCTTGTGATTTGTTAGTGATTCTCATGTTTTAAATAATATTTAAACAGAAATCAAAACTCTCCGTTGGTGAAGTTTTCGTACAACTTTTGCTTCTCACTCACATGTATCAAATAAAACATCGAGAAATTCTCGGCGATTTATGATTAGGGACTTAAAGAGGTTTACTAAATATCGGCTGCCATGAAGGCAATCTGAGTTTCTTTCACGGATTGTGCACAGTTTACCAAATAACCCCCCAGTGGTGTCTAAAATGGTTTACTTTATGTTTAAGTCATCCAACCAGATGTCTGGCATGCATTTTGAAGAACACGGAAAGACCGGAATCACTGTAACTAGTCCACACTATATCGCCACATTTGAGGGGACTTGATCTTGGTGTATCAAATAACGTAGAACCCTGATCAACCATGTCGTTCACTCTTTGCCTTGCCGTCCAACACTCACTTGAGGGGGCACTCATTCAAATTAGTGATCCAAAAATGCCGACAAGAATGATGGCGTCATTTGTTCGCCCTCAGGTTGTGCACTACTTGGAATTCTGTACAACTACAGGTTGTTTCTGCGCCCACAATTGATTCCTTCAAGCACAAACTGGATGAAGCTTTGACAACTCTTAAACTTCAACATCCTTAGCAGTGCATATAACAAGGATAAATCGTGACATTCGTCTACGTTCCATGAATTGTGAATCGATTCATTTGTGCTAAACCCTATGGGACTAGAAAAGCAACCTCTGGTAAGTATTTCGTAAAGTGACAAACAAGATTTCGTTCATTTAATTCATCTTTCGTGAATAATACACAAGAAATTGCTGTAGTCGGGGTCAAATGTGCCGATGTAGCGCACAACAAAGCGAAATTAGAAGGTCTAGTTGGACAATATCTGTCGTCTTTATCTATAGCTTTCTGAGGTCGCATATGAAAACTATTCCGATTGGTGAATTGTGGTTCTCTAGGCAAAAGGAAGAAGGGGGTCGACTGGTTTGCCGATTGTTGTTGTCTATACACAATTGGGGCGAAGTTTGATAATGGGAATTCCCATCACGTCCCCTGTAGTCAGAAACGGATGTGTGATCTGGTAACTTTGTTATTCAGGGACCTGCCACCTGGATGGCTGACACACTCCTCCACCTCTGTTTATACGAGTGCTGAGCAAAACGTTTCCGGATGCACAGAACGTTTTCTTTGATAGATAGAAATAAGCGTTACATTTTCTTGAAGTATGCCCCAAATATGTTCATGCACGGTTCCATGTAGTCAAACCATTTGGTGAAACAGTTCAACCACACTGAAGCGGATAACCGTTCAACCAGTTCAAAAGAAGCCTTCACGACAGTTGTTGAAGACTCATATCGGATTTCATGCATCATTCGCTTGACATTTAGGAACACGATGCTTCTTGAAGGTGCGTCATCCTCAAAGGCAGCTCGCAAACGACCAGCACACTGATGATGCCGCTTTAAACCACATTTGTAGTCGTAGCAAGTTATCGCCATCTGGTGTGGCATCGACTGAACCCCCTCCTTACGACATTCCGTGTATAGTGACCGTCGTATGACCTGTGAGCTGCGCTCCACTGTGCTAATATTTGGTTCAGTGCGAGTTGCAATCACTGAACAATATTCACAATAGATTACAGTCCACGTTTTCCCTGCCCGGTCATCTGCAACTATATAGTACTCGTGTACGCTACGTATCCGGAAAGATTTTTGCTAAGCCCCGTATAAATTGCAATTTATTCAGTTTATTGTTTGTTCCTCGAAATAAACTTAGTCAGAGAGGACCAGGTTGATGGATTGCATGATCCTTTCGAAGGCATGTTTCCCTGTAAATCTATTCAGGCAAAAGGGCAGGAAATACCAGCAGTCCTCGAGTTTTGCATTGGTTCATTTAAACAAAAAAAACAATAAAAGAATTGAATGGACGCAGGTTTCAATACTTCACGGTGATGAGAATTTGCTTCAGAATTCCTAATTGCTTACACACACATTTGATTTCTGTTTGCGATTTGTCAAAGGATCAAGGAGCCTGAAAATTGAGAATTGGTGCATGATGTATCTGTGTCCACTTGTTGATTCCGGCATACAAATGGACTAATATTTGGTGCAAGCTGCTTGTAGGTTCATTGTTATTTTTGGGGGCGGGGTGCATAACTAAGACTGTGGTGGTGGTGATGATGTTGGTGGTTGTGATGGTGGTGATGGTGGTTGTGGTGATGGTGGTGCTGGTGGTGATGGTGGTGGTGGTGATGGTGGTGGTGATGGTGGTGTTGGTGGTGATGGTGTTGATGGTGATGGTGTTAGTGGCGATGGTGATGGTGGTGTTGGTGGTGATGGTGTTAGTGGTGATGGTGTTGGTGGTGTTGGTGGTGATGGTGATGGTGTTTGTGGTGATGGTGATGGTGGTTGTGGTGGTGTTGCTGGTGATAGTGTTGGTGGTGATGGTGTTGGTGGTGATGGTGGTGTTGGTGGTGATAGTGGTGTTGGTGGTGGTGGTGATGATGGTGTTGGTGGTGATGATGGTGGTGGTGATGGTGGTGTTGGTGGTGATGGTGGTGG